CCCTCCCTATTTGTCCCCCCAGACTCGGTCCACAGCTCTGCTTGGACCTGAACAGAGCCACGGTTTGAAGTTGCCGCAAGAACAGATGACAAGCGGACGGATGGAAGGGATGAAACGAGGGATGCGGCACATCAGAGAAGGCTGGTTCATATAAAGAAGCTGCCAGTCCTTTTTGTGTTGAAGCTGCGTTTGTGTGGTGGTGTGTGTCTGCCTGCTCGCACCCATGTCTGTGTGTCGAAGTCACAGGGTTTCTGATAAATCATTGGAGCCAGTGTTAACAGAGACTTTCACAAAGCTATAATTCACTGATTAGAGTGGTACTGTATTTATTATGTGTGTGGGGGGGTCAGCTCAGCTGGATGACGTGATGAATAAAATGTTAAATCACAACTTGGAGCTGATGTGTCCATACTTTGGTTTCTCTTTGACTTTAGATGTGTATATCTTTGCATCATGCAAGTTTCCAGACAGTGTAAATGAATAAATGTGGTAGAAAGAGAGGAAAACTATTCATGTATGTATCACCCCTGAGCACTCCACGCTCCCCACCACCAATACACGGCGTGCGCGTACACGTGCTGTGCGCGCCTCCGTTCCTGCGGAATTCAGGAGGCTGCGGTCGGACTCCGAAAGGCTACCACCTAGAAAATAATGAACAACAAATTTGACGCGTGAGTAACAAACAAAAGTTTCTGTGGAATATCTGCCGGACAGTGTGCTTCCCGTCGTGGCTGCAAATTCACGGGGAAGCGCAACGTTAAAGAAAGCTGTTGCTTGTACAAAAAGAGAGAGAGGTGTGTCAGCTCTATTGCATGATCCTGCATGCTCAGTGTGTGCTTACAAACCCATATGAAAGCGAGGCCTACACACACACAGGTGCATTTACAACGAAGGAAGTAACAACGGGGATTAAATAGTATTTCATAATAGGGGGTGTGCTGTGTTGCTAGCTGTAGCTCAGCTTTGCGGAAGGCGGACAGGCCCCGGGTCCTCGGTGTGGTAGTTGTTGAGAGGCGGTGGAAGGTGCGCGCAGTGTCGGCTCAAACTGGACTCCCATGGCCCTGAAGTACGGGCAGATAGCTCACTGTGTGTTGTTGGCTATTCACGGCCAGAGTCGATTAAGTGGAGTTGGGGACGTGTGCATCATTAGCAGTCTACATGTTTACAGCTACTAGGGGAAAAAAGAAGTTGACACTTAATTAGGTGTACCTAGCTAAAAGTAATGCAGCAGCCCTACAATAAATCATCAATGTTATACATATTAGAAGCACCCATCACTATAATACAGTACAGTAGCACAACACCACTAACTACAGCCTCCAAAACGACCATGAAGTTGACTCAACACCTTAGTTTTAGCTATGTGTACCCAATTAACTGAGTTGTAAGTACCCCTCAGTCACAATGTAGTGGTTGCTTGACACAGACGTTTTTGTTTTGCTGCCTGTGTTTTCCATCAAATCCAGTCTGAAAGATGATGACAGTGGAGACCACGACCAGGACCAAAGCTCACCGAAAGACAGTGAGAAGGAAAAAACTGAAGACGAGGACAAGGAACAGAACATCTCCAAGAAAAAGGTGAGCCCATTTAAGAGTGACTCATGTGTCTGCGGCAGCTTCGAAGTTAATTGTCGGGCTAAGTCACTGTCTTGTTTATTGCAGATGGTGGTGCCAGGGGCAGGAGAGCACCCTCTTCAATACAACTACACCTTCTGGTACTCCAGACGCACCCCGGGGAGACCGGCCAGTACTCAGAGCTACGAACAGAACATTAAACAGATCGGCAGCTTCGCCTCGGTATGACAGTCCTCACAACCTCTTTAGACAGTAGATATCACCTTAACCAGACACAGCCCAAATCTGTAAATACAAGCTCACACTGACTCATAATCCCACAGTTGTTGATCATTTCTTGTCCTTCCCAAAGGTGGAGCAGTTCTGGCGTTTCTATAGTCACATGATCCGGCCAGGTGACCTGACAGGCCATAGTGACTTCCACCTCTTCAAGGAGGGTATTAAACCCATGTGGGAGGTGGGTACTCGTTTTATAACGCATTGACTCTGTTTTTATAAATAATGAGCCCATTCTGAAACTCGCCTGTGTTGTGTTTAGGATGATGCCAATAAGATGGGTGGGAAGTGGATCATCCGTCTAAGGAAAGGCCTGGCGTCTCGGTGCTGGGAGAACCTGATCCTGGCCATGCTCGGGGAGCAGTTCATGGTAGGAGAGGAGATCTGCGGGGCTGTGGTGTCGGTTCGCTTCCAGGTAAAACCCCCAAACAGATGCACACCTGTTTGACCTACTCACACGCTACCTACCTCAGTATAATCAGACATGTTTTCTTTGCCTCTCGATTCCAGGAGGACATCATCTCCATCTGGAACAAAACCGCCAGTGACCAGGCGACCACTGCCCGCATCAGAGACACCCTGCGTAGAGTCCTGAACCTGCCTCCCAACACCATCATGGAGTACAAGACTCACACAGACAGCATTAAGTATGTATGTCTCTTCGTTTTATTATTTTCTATTTTACCTTTCTCTCTTTCAACATTCACAAATGTATGCATGCTCACAAACATGTTGCATTTTCTCACGTACAAGGCAGTGTGGGTTTATACGCTAACTATAATGCATGAGTGTTAGTTCAAAGAGCAGATTTATATACGACAGTGTCAATGTTTCTCACGACTGAAGCTGATGAGATTATGGGCAACATCATAATCGGAAAATAATTGTTAGTTGCAGCGCTGCTTTGGAGTATAAGACTTGACTATTTTGTTTTTAGATTATAATTTACTAATTCAATTTCATTACATTCCCAGATATAAAAAACGAATAAAATCAGTTTTTTCATTGCTATTGGTTATATATGTTAAAAAAGAAAAGTAAAATATAGCCACTGTATGCAAATCATGTTTTGTGTGCTTCTGCAGTAAAATGATGCATTTGTGATTTCCCTCATTGAAAATACCATACATTTACATATCAGGAGTTTGTCTATTTTACTGTGAATGGTGAAGTGCTGCATCCTTCTTTTTGTTTGCAGAGCATGGGAAGACTTCCATGGTCTGGTGAATGCTAGCGGCGGACGTTAGCCCCTCACACAGAGAACCTCTGCAAGAGTAAGGACTGCCGCTGTATTAGTCGGGAGTGAGAATAATGGCTCTGGTGCATTTTGTCTCATGCTAACGTCGTTTGTCTCTGTTTGTGGTGTGCAGGTGTGTGTATATGTGATGTGTTGGGGGATGACAAGTCCAGGATAGGATACCTCTATGTGGACTGGCTCTGTGTAATATGAAGACTGGAAGAGAGGCAAGAAGACCATTCCTTCTATGTGTCAAATTGGAAATGAGCAGAAGAGCCTGTCAACAGAACGCTGAACCAAGCCGAAGAGAGACATATGCGTTATTTTTAATCAACCAGAGAAGAACGAAGCCTCCAGTTTGTTTGTTTTTCCAGTTCTTTTCTTTTTGTTTTTAATGCAAGTTGCAACATCTGTTAACTTGCCACCAGAGGGAGGCCATGTGACTGGTGTGTGCCGATCTGGTCATTAGCTGTTAACAAAGTGTACTTGACAAAAAACAACAAAACCAATCTGTTAAAATACTATATCTGATTTTATTGCTAAACATAACATCACACAGTTCCTGCTGTTAATCTGTTTTATTGGGATTCAAACAGGGTTGCAGGTAGATGTTATTTTATTACAGTGCTGTATTTTAACTACAATTCCTCTGGTCATTTCGAACTAGAATGATTACTATTATTGTGTACGATATATTTGTAAATACAGTCCACTTCAAAGATCACTTAACTGAATCAGCAATGATTCTCCATCTTTGACTTGGAAGTTGAATCCCAAAGGATGAGGACCATCCTGTGCTGGGCAGAAGGTTGTATGACCGGCATCTTAAAAATGGACTGCCAAGCTGCCTAAATCACTGTGCCTGGCCTCGAGCCCGACCCAAACCAGTTGTCCCTTTTGTCTTTTTTTGTTTTTACCCCGCCTTTAAAAGAGCCCACGGGATGAGCTTTGCTTTAATGTCCTCAACAAAGTTGTATAGGAGTCCTGTAACACTGACCTTCACTCCTTTTCCATTTTGTAGTAAAAGAAATGAAAGTGGGCCCAGGGTCAGGGTCTGTTACAGTTTTTATCAGTTTCTCGGGAGCAGCTTTTTGGAACCATGTCGAGAAAGCACCTATAGTTTGTTGAAAAACTGTAATGCTGCCCATGTTTGCTGGTGGGATGATGGGTGCAGGTGTGTGTCAAAAGTGAAGGAACACTGTTGGATGTACACCTGATTGATTATAGCAATAAATGTCAAATATGCATCTGCTGCTAAAGCTGGTTCAGTGTATTTTTCTTTCATAAATGTGATATTGTTTATAAAGCAGGGTTCTTCCAATACATCAGCCTCTACTGTTGTACAAATACAATTCTATCTGACAGTCTCTTGTACCATAACGTGACTTAACTGGTGTCCCCCATAAGTTGTAGACTGCTTTCAACATTATCCATTTACTTATGGTCCTTTTCGTTGATCAGCTCATTTCAAAGAACATGTGATTCTGTAGAGAAAACAAAATCAGACGAGTCAATCAATGAGGGGGTTTAATTAAATAAGCCTTTTTACAGCAGGCCTTTTGTGTCAGAGTATACTGCTTTACTTTTTTTACACTTCTTTTTGATTGATTGCTTAATTGATTAAGCTGCTTTTAATAATAACTAGTAATTTTAAGTGGCACTGACTTAGCTTTGTAAGTTACATATGATTAACTGATTCCTTTTTATTTTGTTTGCACAGCACAAATAGAAATTACAAAATTAAGTCATTATCACTTTAAATTACTAATTGCTACTTGATGAGGAATGTTATTTTTAACTTACAAAATTAAGTTTTACTTAAAAATGTTAATGTAATCAGTGTTACAGCAATGTCTTTGTTCTATAAAAGTGTCAAAAGCCTGTAAGCCATCACAGTGTGACAGCATGCAAAGACTGAAGCAGCTGAATTGAACACAGGCATCCTTAATTGTGTTATTTCCACCTGTGCTTTGCTGTGAAAAAAAAAAAACACAGTATTTTCTTGCAAAGGTTATAATGAAAATTAATATGCTTTTACCAACAAGAAAGTGGCTGCCAGCAGCAGCAGTTTAGTGTGTGATTCCATACTCTGTGGCACTGGAAGAGAGACAGAAATGAGAATGAGGTATACAAGGCAGTGAGTACGTCAAGGGAAAACACAGGTGTAACTAATTTATTAAATACTGCATTCATTGCTGGAATGGAGCCATCATTAATTAATTAAGTATCACACAGGTCATGATCTTCATGTTATCAAACTCAAACTTGGCTTTGTTTTGGCCTTCAAAGGGGGACATGAGTTCAAGAAGAATTGGAAATCACATTTCCTTGTACAACTCACCTTCCAACCCAAAATACTCATGGTCCATGTTATGTTCGTCACTGAAGCCAGGCCATTTCTTCCATATTGTGCCCATTTTCTCACCAATGTTGGAAACAATCTGCCGTGTGATTAAAAGCCACAAATACTGAATAAAATAGAAACACTTGTTTTATTTTGGGTTGCCCAAATATCTCTACCTGGAACTGCTGGTTGGAGAAGCAGCGACACGGACAGCAGGAGCCCTGGATTCTGACGGTAGATGCTCCCTCTGCATCACACACTTCCAGGAGAGGGGTGAACATGCTCCACCTGCAGCCACAGTCAACCAACACACAAGTTTGCACATTTCCTTACATAATCATGCAATAAGCAACCTGGCAGATACACTGGCCAGTACTTCACACACTGGCGCAGACCAGTCTTGATGGTTGGTTGATCACATTTTCAGCTGTCATGATTCTGCAGAACCAAAAGCATTGTTTGCTTGGTGTCGGAGGAGTTCAAATTGGGGCATGCCTATTCGAGCACAACTGAGAGAATATTTATACCAAGTAGATCTCTAGTCACCGAAAACTTCTGCCAGGTCAGTCTTAATTGGACACAACTTCATTGAGTGCTGCTTCTGGAGAACTCTAAATCTGACGCACAAAGGCACCCCAGCTAACCCCGGAGTCAGATTTAGGCCAGATGAAGAAGGAAGTATTTCAGGAGACATGGGTGCTGCCATTCCTCCCATTAGCCAACATTCCCATTAGGAAGGATGCCGCATTCCTTCCCTCCCAGCCCAGGGTAGCTCTGTCGGTGTGTCTCCGTGCAGACAGCTGTTTTGTGCATTAACTCTACCAGGTTTAGACTACACCCTGGCGGAACAGTAAAGGCTCTCACTGCTATTTACAGACAGGCCTGGAAATCTACAGTCGCTCAGGGTGGCCAGAGGCTGGGAGGGACATGGAAAAAAGGCTCACATGACAAGTTGTTCAGTCGGGGAATTTTAAGTATTAAGATTCTGATAGTGGGGGTCAAAGGGTTAAAAGGTTAATTCACCCAAATGACAGAAAACATGAAAAATTGCATTTAGAAATGTTGACAGCAACACCTGTGTTCAGAAAAGGTTACCTGTTACTCTGTTTGGCCCACAGAACGTGCTGTCAACAATTTTTCTGTTTTTTTATTTTATTCTATGAGTACCACAAACAAAATCTATTCATCACCACTGTGTTTGGCACATATCTCAGACACAGATATCTTGAAAATTGGTCAAATATATAAATATATAAAATAGTCAGAACAAACCAAAACCAGACAATACCTGTAGATAACCAGGGTATTTATTTTCCTAAATTATGTTTTTGTGTTGAATATCAATTCAACTGTTTGTTTATTCATTATAAGAATGGTGTTTGTCCGTCTTAGCAAATGCTCAAATGCTGTTTTTTATATATATATTATATAATGAGATTATTATAATTATTGGTTAATGTTTAAGTCGCTAATTTTAACCCCTTTGTTGGATAGTTTAATCTATTACTGATCATGCGTTTCACATGTAAAATCTTTATCAGCAATGCAATTAGTAAATCTCGAATTTAAATAAATGTAGTGGAATTAAATGTAATATTTTTCCATCTAAAATGTAGTGGAGCAAGAGTTTAAAATAGCATAAAATACAATACTCTATATAAAGTAACTGAGTAAATTTACTTTCGACTGTTCAAGTTAGACAAGAGCAACAGATTCCGACTGTACTACCTCTGGCATACAGTGCCAATAAGATGTTTTTGAGGTGTGTAGGCTCTCATTTCCATCAGGCAGCAGCCGAGGCAGCAGGCGTCCACCCTAAGGGGCCTTTCAAAATAAAAGACCTGGCGGCCCTGACAGTCAAAGCCCTGCAATGAGCAGGCCCGAGCTGGACCGCAACACTGGAGGCACACACAGGAACTCTCTGACAGGAGGGAGAGATTGAGCAGAGACTGAGAATACAATGAAAAACACAAATCATTAATTTATATGAGATGCAGATGGGATGGTGTTCTCAGTTAAGACACATGTAGCTGAACAGGGGTCAGTACCTTCCACAGCCACAAATAACTGTGACCTGCTGCCTCCTGTGGTGATGCTGTAAATCCTCCTGGGAACACACTGTGGACCTACAACAACCGAGCATCATTCTTTTGAAACAGACAAATGTCTCTCACAGAAACATACAAATACACAAAAGCAATCCCTCCTGCTCACCTTGCAGCTCCGGTCTGGCAGTGATTTGTATTTGACTGACTGTTTCCAGCGCAGACATAAAATGGGATCCTGCTGCACCTCCGGGCCACTTTTCCTCAACCCCTGGCCTGCTCACTTTTCCTGGTGGCTGCAGGTTCTTTATCTTTGTCCCAGGAGCCAGACCTGACAGCTGCCCATCAGATTCCCAGTCAGGAGGTGTTTGGTGCAGTTTGGGTCCAGGTGAGTGAGCGTGGCACTCACAGGAAGGCCCACAGCGGTTCTGGAAAGCTCTGAAGATCATCTGGATGTGCCTCTCTCGCTCCAGTCGATCAAAAGGAAGAGGCTGGCTGGTCACAGCTGACATGGTGCAGAACTGAAAATGTATTACAGAACAATGACAAACAGACAAATGACTAGCTCAGACTTTAATAGTCAAAGTAATTGTAAATTGACTGTTTAAATTGTCCTTGTGAAACTTCTAGTCCAGCCAGTGTGTATTTCCTAAATATTAAATTAGCAAATAAAGTCTGCACCTGACTAAAATAGTCTTACTAGATCTGACAGCATGTATTTTATACCACTGGAAGTCCCACACAACAGCAATTGTGGAATGAACTCTATCATACAAAAAATATTTTTAAGTAATCATGTAATTGTGGAAGTGTTTTTGGGAGTTGGTGGACTGGATCAACCCTTTTGTGTATGACCTTTAATACAAAGTGATATCTACTTGCGACCCCTTGTCACAGTTGATTTGAATAATTTTTAAGTGCCAAAAGAGATGCACAGTTTTAGGAGCTTAAAAGTTCATCATTGATCTTTAAAAAAATAATAGTATTTAGTTAAAGTATAGAAAATAACCAAATACTAGAGAAAAGTCATAAAAATAACCATAATTTTATTGGGAAAATGAAAATCTAGAAATCCTCCCTCTCATGACCTCTTGACCCCCTGGTTGGAAACCATTAGAGTAGATAGCTTAACAAATAATTCAACAGTTTAAAACTATAAATAGTTGTCCTTAGACTGACTGGAAAATATGTTTCTTTTCTATGAAATGAAAAAAAGGGAACTGAGTTACATCCTGAATGTCTGAGGAAGTTCAAGAAAAACGTTTCCCGTCAGATAGACATCCCCCTCTTAAAACAAAGTGATTTCATCACAGCAGCCAGCCAGAGCCTCCTTTTTATTCACATCACACACACTCAGCTTGCACAGTTTGGTCCCATTGTGCAGCTACACTGTATATCCCTCCACATCAAAGATGATCATAGTACCAAAATGAAGCCCTACCTTATGTCATGCATATAAACAGTGATTGCAAAAAGAGTACAACAGGAGCCCAAATGGTTAAAACATCTTCTTTAGCATTTTACCCTTATTATATTCAAATTAAAGTATGTAATGTAAGAAAGTAAAGACAGAAAATAGCACTCTAGAGCATTAAAAGTCTCTTGCTTACCCTCTGTGGTCAACCTCCAGGTACCTACAGACTGATAAACTAACTGTGAGAAAGAAACTACCAGGCAAACATCCATGAGTCGGCATGATCAGGAGGGGTGAAGCACAACCCTCTTACCACTTCTGTGTGTTTGTGTGAATATTCACGTAGTAATGTTTGGCTTTGTGAGCCTGGAGACATCATTCCCGCTCCTGTCCCCCTGTCTCTGTCTCACCCCCTGACTCCGTTTCCATCCCAACCAGCCGGATCTGCCTTTTGTTGGGTTAGAAAGGCACCACTCAGCCATGTAATTGAAATCCTGCTTCCAGTGGTGGGGGGCTGTGTAGTGGGCCTGTGTTTTGAGGGTTAGCCTCGGGGGTGTCAGTGCTCCTATGCTCCTCACAAAAGGTGTCAAACACAGGAGGATTAAGAAATTTGTGACAGTGCGCAATCACAACATTACAAAAGTACTTTTATTGTTAAAAGCATTCCTTTGACACATTTGGCTTATGTTCTCTGTTTACACGTGTGATCAACAAATGTCTCGTGCATAGCTTTGAATTGTATTAAGGTTGCAGCAGGTGAAAAGGTCAGTTTACAGCAAACACTGAGATGGTAACAGGAACAGTCAAGGAAATTGCTCTTTTTATGCAAAAACATTCTCATCCTCAACAGTCGGTCACAGCCGACAGCAGGATGCATCATCACAGATCAAGCGTGGCATCCATACAACTGCGCAGTGGATCCTTCATCACCATGAACAAACATTTTTGACTTTGTGATAGGCCAAAGTCCCACATTACCAAATGAAAATACACAGACAGCTGTATCTTATCCATCTTCTCTGTGCCCCAGTCATGAGTGAAAGATCACTGACGGATGCTGTCAGATTTCCACTTTCGGGATAAAATCTAGAGATTTTCTCCTTCTTCACCCCAAGAAGTTGGTCTGAGTTAGATCAGTGAGATTGTTTATTGGAGGGAGATACCTCTTGGTATCCCCGAGGAAAGGTGAGGAGGGAGGCTGGTTGAAATGGCCCATCAGGAAGATCCCAATTGTTCCAATAAAAAACACAGACACCATGACAATGAAACAGACCCTGTCAATCACCCGGGCGACCAGGAACCACTCTTCATTTTCCTGGGGTTAAGAAACATGAGAGATTACCACTGATGTTAATTTAAAACAATGAAAGCAAGCCAATGTAAAGATGCTTACATTCTGGAAGTCACTATGATTCCTTGCAGTTTCAGCTATGTGTTTACAGGAGGCCACACACTTCTTCAGCTCTGGAGAGACCTTTGCCAGACTGATACTAAGCTGCTCAGCTGTACCAGCCTCCAGCCCATCATCTGTGTACAAAACAGACCAGAGAACCATGCAGTTACAAAGGGAAACACACTTTAACAAATGCAAACTCGTTCAAACACTTACGTAGTTTCTCTAATACTGATTTCATCAATCCATTTCTTTCTTTGAGTCTGGCAAACATGAGTTCAGACCGAGCAGTTTTCATCACATATTCCTCCGCCTTGGTGATGAGGGTCATGGAACTGCGGCGTCGGCAGGGGATCAGGAACACACCGTTCCCACCTGTAGACAGAGTTTCACCGTTTCCAATTTCTGAGGCATTGCCATTGTTTGGTGTCCAGGGTCGCATCTGCATCCTCAGCAGCCGAGGCAGGATGTTTAGGAGGATCTGAGGAGGACACAGGGTCAGAGGGCAATCCAGTGGCAAATACACCCATGCAGTGTGTTCAATCAGTCATGGAAATTGAATTTAGAAAAGGGTTTGGTCTGACCACAGTCTCACCTTTCGGACTTTGTCTGTCATTCTGTGAGTGTTGGGGGTTCTCAGGGAGACGTTGAGGACTATCACACAGTTCATCACTACCATGGTGGTCACTGACATCACAAACATCAAATACCTGCAGTCAAGGGTTCATATATCACATATTTTTCAGACACTCTTTTAAAACAGCAGTGGTTGGGACTGAAATCTTAGAGCGATCACATGAACTTACTTGCCAATAAGAGGCACTGCCCTTGAAGTCTCTGGAACCTTCTTAGCAATGAGTAAAAGGAACACAGTCTGGCCCAGAAGAGTGGCAATAGACATGGTACACTTCTGACCACCGGCTGCAAAACACAAACCAACATTCAGTCAGTCGTGGTGAGGTTTTGTGTTAATGGAAACAGATATTAATGACTTATTTGAAACCCTTGTTGAGCCAGACTTCTGTCTGTCAACCACATGAAAGTCCTGGGAAAATCTTGATGAAACCCTGAGGCAGCAATTAGATTGGAATTTCAAGAACTTGCACATCTAGTTACAGTATTAGCCAAGACTTGGATGAGGTTGATGTGACAAATGTCTAACTACCTGAGATTATGCTTTTAGACACAAAGTGAGGGAAAAGACCTTTGGCAGGTAAGTAGTAGACGAGGAGGCAGAGGGAGGAGAAGAGCACACAGGGAGCAATGATGTTGATGATGTAGAAGAGAGGCTTTCTCTGGATGATGAGGAAGAAGACCAGCTCCTGGTACCCCAGCTCATCCTTTGTGTACTGAGTGTTGATCACCTTCTTGGCCGGCCTGTGTTTAATGACCCACTCTCCATTTTCTATCATCAACAAAATTAGAGGCTTTCATTCAGTCTTAAGACATTTAGAGAATCATAATTATTCAAAATGTATTACTCGAATGCTGCTATACCTGTAAAAGCCTCCGGGTCAATATCCACCCACTCCAGCGTGTGGTTATTCTCCTCTTTAAGAACCAGTTCAATCTCATTGGCGCTGTAGGTCTGGGAACTGAAAGCAAGAAGAAGACATATGATCTGTCACCACAACAAACACAAACATCTATTCACTTTTACAAGACAGATCAGTGAAAAAGGACCATGAATTAAGCAGAACTGTTCCAGGTTTGGACAATGTAGATTCTATTTAAACACAAAGAGACCTGACATGTAAACTTAGATTTTTTTTTATTTTCTGATTTTGTTCCCCCTAATTATATTAATTAATTTAATTCAACTAATTGATTATTATTAACTAATATAAAATTTTCTTCCAGGTTATAACTCTTGGAGTTTCCTGTATTAAATGTTATTTAAAGGTCCAGTGTGTAACATTTAGGAGGATCTATTGGCAGAAAGGGAATATAACATTCATGGGTATGTTTTCATTAGTGTATAATCACCTGAAAAGAAGAATCGTGTGTTTTTGTTACCTTAAAATGAGCCATTTTTATCTACAGACAAAGTGGGTCACCTTTCATGGAGGCTGCCATGTTGAAGTGCTATGTTTCTACAGTAGCTCAGAAGGGACAAACAAAACACTGGCTGCAGATAGGGTCGTTCATGTTTTTTGCGTGTCATCCCCATGGCCACTATAGTTTCTCCCTTGTGTTTGGAAAGAGAGGGTGAAACCAGTGATACACTGAGAGATGCTTCTCAAACCTACATACTGGACCAGCTGAATAAATGCATACATTTGTAACAAGCACTTTACAACAATACACCCGTGCGGGTCCTCCTTTATATAACAATACTATATAATTACTCTACTGTTATTATTGTGCTCTTATATCATTATAATATTCTATTTAATTTCAATTGTATATGCCATATTATTGTATTATTACTATATAGTGTATAGTAATGTATATGTATTTACATATATACACACATATTATATATAACATTATATACGTTATTGTATTATTATGTATATTTTACTTAGTATTAATACCCATACCTATAAACCTATACTATACATACAGTAGTTAAACATCCTAGAGGCTTTACTTCTTCTGCACAAATATTTGCACAATTCAAGTCTAAGGTATCTTGTGTATTACTTTTTAAAGTCATCTCTCTAATTTGTTAAATCTCTTATTTTATTTATCTTATTTATTTTTTATTGTTTAATTCAGAGAGTTCTTTATCTATTTATTTCTGCACTGCTGTAACATGGGAATATCCCTTTCGGGATCAATAAAGTCTTTTCTTATATCTGTCTAAATTACTGCAAAATTCAAAGAATACTGAGTCATCTAAGTGCTTGGTTGATAAGACAACAAATCTGAGGGATACATGAAAGATATATGACATGGTGAACATGAAGTGTTCTCAATATAGTTATACATTTTATTTAGTTTGTACCACTCACTGGTCAATCACTAAATCCCAACAAATTTCCTCTCTACTCACCGGAATACCATAGTGCAGTTCTGCCAGTCAAAAGGAAAGTAGTTGACAGTGATGGCACAAGCACTGCGGTAGATTGCAGGAGGCAGCCAGTACACACACCCGTCAGAAGACACCAGTGCATTGCAGTAAAGTGCTACCTCGAACTGTCCATCCACGCTGTGCACAAGTTAGAGCAGAGGCAAACTGACATTTACTGGTGTATTCAATTACACACTGACATATTATTTCTAGAGCATTGGTTATCATGAGAAAAGTTTAATCATTTTTAAAATTAATATATTTTAAAGATATAATAAAACAGTTTAATCAAGTAATCCTAGACAATGTGACTATAATCTAATTCCACATTTTTTCAAATGTAATCTGGGTTGACTATAGTTTCTTATTTTTGTAATCTGAATACAGAATATCTGATTAATTGTAGGCTAATCAGTTACTACCCAATACTGTACAGAACCTACAACATTAATACAAAACCTTCCGCCAACATGTTCTCCAAATCACTTTTTATGGTCTCAAAAGTGCAGTTATTGACATCTCATATTTTTCTGTGCTGAACTTTGTCAACTAGTTACTGCTTTCAGACATATGGGGATGCCAATGTCAAAAGCTGCTTAGTGAAGGTGTGAGTAGCTCAGTGGCTGAGACCAAATATTGTGTTAAAATGTAATGTTTGTTACACTCACTTGTTCTCCAGTATAACATCTGGCAGCCAGATGCTCTTGGAGGGAACCCGTAGCTGAGAGGTGATGTTCCCATACAGAGCTGACCTGGGAGGTTGGTCCCATCTGAGCCTGTAGTCACACCATTGCTATAAACAGAAAAACTATGTGTTTGACTTTTGACCATGTCTTATATACAAAATAAAATTTACCATCATTGCAAAGCAGTTAAGAAAATCCAGATGTGGTGTGTGTTAGGTTACCATTTCTATCCAGACGCTGGTTGTTAAGGCCTCCTCCTTTTCATTCTGAGGAGAGATAGTACAGTACAACAGCGTTAACTCTCTTGCCCGTGCAGCCACTGGCACTAATCAAAAACACCAGACTGAGCTTGACTCACCAGAGAGATGAGATTGGTGAGCGTCATCTTGATGTCGACGTGAGTGATATCACCACTCTTCTCCATGGGCCGGACATTCTTGTTGTAGCCCTTCATCAAATCTTTGAAAAGCTCCCCTTCAAGGTTGACTGCTGACGCTGCAGACAAACCACATAAATGAAATCTAAAAGATTAAAGTATCTTTTGGACAAATAACATGCAATAACGTTTAAATTGACAAAACGGATGATTAAAACAGGATTTAGGGAAAAAAAAAAAATTTAAAATTATTGGAAAATAGCAATAAAAGTAATTAAAAATACAATGATGAAATACTACACAAAATAAGAGATTATAATAAAAGAGTAAAATTTTATAAAATAAAATATATAAATCCAATAAATAAAACTAATGATGACAAAGGACTAATCAATCTTACATATTAAGTTCAATTTGCCCGTCATTAGAAGTGATATTTAGTCTGTTGTATAATGTCTCCTGTGGCTCCGGAGAGAGAAAAAATAACCCTGGTGGTGAATGATGTCAGCAAGGTCGTCTTGAGACTTAACATTGTTAAGAAAATCAACTGTATTAAAAACTTGACGTGTGAGGTTTGAAAGATGTGGGCATTTAAGAAGCACAGGGGTGTCTGATTAAAGATGTTATTGAACTGCACAACACAGCCTCTGCTTCTTCAATTCTGACAATTATTTACCAAGTACAGTATAAAACCACTCCAGGACACTGTTAAGATACATTCCTATTCTATTTCAGTTCATTTCTACTTCAGGCAGTGCAAGACAAACCTATTCTAAAGAGAGCAAACTAACTAAAGCAAACTGAATACCTCTGTAAGTGGATTTTATGTTGGTTTACCACAACCACAAACAAATCGTGTTAGTGTTTGATTAATTAGTGTTACAGTAATTTCAACCCCTTTGTATTGGATATCACATCAAATACATGACGGTCCCCAAGTAAAATGAGTGTGAAACTGAAATCAGCCTTAAGTCTACAACAATTACAGTCTGATTTTCCAGACTAACAGTGGCTTGCACATCAGAACACACACAGTGTGGTCCAGCACAATTATTGCAGCTGGAGTCATTTATGTTGCACTTTGTTCAACATAAAACTGAAAATCTGGCTTTACAAATTCACACCACACAATGCAAAATCATAGAAACTAACAAGATACTAATTGTCCTCAAATGTGGCGGCTGATAAGCCAGCGTTCCTACCTGTGGCAGAAATCATAAACACCCTTACGAAGAGTGACGGAGAGAACGGAGGTCCAGAATCCATTAGTGTGTGTGTCTGTGCTCTGAGACAAAGCTATGATCACTAATCTGATACACATGGACACTACTTGATGGAGCTGCTGGCACTTGGCCTGTGTTTGTGTGTGTGTGT